TAGTCAGTTCGGCGGAAACCAGGAGGAGTTGAAACTTCCTTTTTTCCATCACTCCTTGATTTGGGCAAGCTGATTTGGGGTTCCTTATCTGCAACTTTCCGCGAACGGATGCGTTTTCGTTTCCGTGCAGAACCTTCCGGAAAACTGAAAGAAACTCCCTCCTCAGCCAAGTCAGAGTCAGACTCGTCATCAGACAAAACAGCAAAGGGATTTTTGTCGTTGGTTGATGGTGTGGCTGTTTTTAGCATTGCTGCAAAAGACTGCCTGGAACGCTCCTTAAGAGAGCGTTCTAGTTTCTCCCCGCGTTGTTTGTACGCCGGGCACGATGAGAGACCATGAGGAGTTCCCTTACAGTACACGCATTTTGGTGCAGTGACTGTGCAGGCGCCATCCTCGTGCTTCTCCCCGCATTTGGAACAGCGTGCCTTGCTGCCACAGTGAGAGGCCGTATGTCCCAACTGTTGGCAGTTTTGGCAGTTCATGACCCGAGGAACAAACAAACGCACAGGTAGCCGAAGTTTTCCCAACTCGATGTAGTGAGGAAGGGCTGAACCAGAAAAGGTCACCCGAAACGAGTCTGTGGGGGTAAAGCTCTTTTTACCCTCGCTGAAAGATACTGAGTTCAGCTTCTGGACTTCCAGTATCTCAACCGTGGGAAGCAAGGGGTTCTTGAAACGGCCAACCGCTTGCTTCACCAAGATCTCGGGGTCAGACTCGCTTCGGTGACCACACCTTCGATCTCCACATTACGAGCTGGGATGTACACTCTATACTCGAGTGTAAAGAGCTGGGAGGCAGCAATCTCGTTAGCTTGTTTCAGGTTAGAGACGACAACGCGAAGTTTATTGTACCTCACCTTCGAGATTTCGGTCACGGCCGAGAACCGCTTCGTCAGATCATTAGTAATTTGCATTACATTCAAAGGTTTCTTTTTGGGCTGAAAGTAAACAACCCATGGGCCAGTCGAGTCTTCTGGGTAGGCTCGCGATCGGGGGCTTATCTGTCCCTGTCCATTACCAGACTGAGATGACGAAGCAGGGATGGCATCATCTGATTTCTGGGATGACAGACGTTTTCGACCCTTTTTGCTATCGCGTGGCAAAGTGGTGTCATCTTCCGACAAAACGTCCATTTCGTCTTCCGACAAAATGTCCATTTTGCCGTACTAGTGGGAGCGAAAAACGCTCTACCACTGCAACGATAATCAAAATTACTCGGACACAATACACGAGAAAAAAAAAAACAAACACAGAAACACAAACTTAAAATTTAACTGATGGGAGAAAGAAAGAAACAAGAACAAAAACTTATCTGATAATCCTATACTACTACCACCGAGCGTTTACACAGCAGCAGCGGAGCGACGCGCAGCTTTGATGATCTTCGATCCGCGTGTGCGGGCGGTCTTCGTTGGTGTGTGCTTGTATGAAGCTCGGCACTCAGCTGAACACACGAGATGGATGAGCGGTTTGAATGTGGAGGCAGATGCTGACACTCGATGACGATGATCCGTGTGCACAGGTATGCGTGACCACGCACCGATGGTGCGCAAAATGGTTGGCGAATTGGCAATCGCAAAAACAATTTTCCTTCCGATGATGCCGAAAACACACTTTCTTCTCAGAAAAAAACTCACTTTTTGATAAATTTATCGGGAATTATGCCAGGAATCACTAAGCGAGAAAAAACTGATTATTTACGTCAGATAATAGCGAGAAAACTTCCAAATTAACGGAGCGCGAAACAAGTCGACCGTTCTTCTTGCTAGGACGCAGTGAGATGCCTCTGTTGTTGTCAATATTAATATTCGTCTCAATCTTGGTGGGGATGATTTTGAGGATAAAATGCAAAAGTATTATTTTCATTTTACACAAATATAACACTGAAGAACATTTCGTGTTGGTTTTAACACACAGATCGATGGCAAATAATTGCCTCATACTAAATTGATGATAATATCGAGGATTTGGGTTCTGGAGTTGACAAAATTCAAAATAATCATTATGTCCAAAATGAATTTCATTTGTTCATTTCGCTCGTATGTAACAGCGAAGATTTTCAAAACAAACGCAATTTATCTACACTGGGCCGACGCCGGGGGTGTAGTGGTAAGCGTGACTGCTTTCTCACCCCAATGGGTGTGGGTTCAATCCCAGCCGAGGTCGGTGGGATTTTTCTGAGGCATAAAAATCTATGGTCACGTCTTCCTTCGGAAGGGAAGTAAAGCCGTTGTTCCCGGCCCATGTGTATTGAACAGAGAATGGGTGCGATATCCTACGCAGGTGTGGAAGCCGCCTTCTTGTACATTCGAATTTTCTTCTCACTTTAGAATTCTACTTATATTGCTGACATTGAGCTTTAAATAATCACCCAGAATGCAAGGTCCGACGCAATTCTACGGAACACAAGATATTTGCCCCAGAATTAACCTAATATAAATCTGTACACACTGGCCGGTAATCTAATTTGAATTCGAATAAACGGCAAGAGCATATACATTATTAATAAAAAAGAAAACGAGGATCACGGGTAGTCCACATTAATCCATGCAACTGATGCCGCAATGGAACACCGAAATCACTGAAACGATTCGCACCGTCTCTACTCAGTCTAAACAATACGGAGAATGCTAATCATTTTCGCTCATGCACCTTCGTGCGGTGTTATCCGAATCCCGTTTCCGAAAGGAATTCAATGTGGAAAATGATGCCTTGATAAAATTTGTAAAATTCGATAAAACTTCTCCGGACCGAACCGAACCGAACGGATGGTTGGATGGATGGATGGATTCTGCACGGAGCCTTTCCTGTGGCAGATGGTGCGAGTTACGCATCGCAAATTAGCATGAAATTGGATTGGCGAAGAAGCATCCGGCTTCTCGCGAGCCTGGCTGAATAACAATCCTAGCTGAGGGTGGAGGTTGGAACGCAAAGCTCGCACGCTATGCAGCCAAGCTTGTTTAATGGGCGAAATTGTGTTGAAAGCCAATTCCGAGTATTGCGGTGCGTGGTGCATAAATGAGGCCTCGCTTGATTTATTGGTTTCATGATGCCGCTGGAATGGAACACCATTCGATGATGGACGGATGGTTCAGAAACCAGAATGCGGTTGATGAGTTGGTTTTATCCTTATATCACATTTTCCAAACCAATCCCTTTTTTATTTTGCAGAAGAGTGCAAAGTACATCGGGACCGCTCCTTTACGATGGCAGTCATTTGAATAATAATCGCAATCATCAGAAATTTATGACATTCGATTTTGGTTATGCAATTTGCTCGGAAGCGTCGTAGTACATATTCGTTCTTGTATCTTTCATTGGGTGCAGTAGTTCCTTTGAAAACTGTCCCCCCCCTCCCACACGATTGAGGGCGTCACATCCCGGTGGAAAAGTTCTTCCCTCGAATACCGTAGCAAAAGTTGCTCCTGCGAAGAATTGCCAGCAGCCCCGGCCAGCAGTAGTACATACGTAGAGTGTGGTGCTGAGAATTGATATTGCCTGTTCCGCACTATTTCATACTGCGACAAGAAGACGCTATATAGAGCAACACCCTGAGATGCAGCATACTGTTCCGCAACGGGTGGCAGACGCGATGCGTTCTGTCACATGCATGATTGTATGACATGCGGTGTCGGTTGGCAAAAGAAGATGATAGAGAACGAAAGTTCAGTCGATAAAAGTTGGTCTTGTCGGGTCTGCCGCTTCTCCCATCATATCGGCCGAGAGCCAGCGGAGGAGCGTGCGAATCTGGGTCAGTCGTGACAATTGTTGGATTGTGATTTAGTGCTAAGTGTGTACGAACCGGGGCTCAGCGATGGATTTTGTAACATGAGACTGAATATCGTTTGTGATTCGAGTTTGTTACGTTGATAAATTTATTAGGTGGTTAATCTCAGCAATGTACCGGTTAGACTTTTAGTTTCCTATGCAACCATTCCGTAGCAAAACGATATATTGGTTCTCAGAATTTCATAGAAATTGGCAGTTTTGTTCCTTATCGCTAACTATTAGACCCGTTTTTTTATCATTATGGTTGTTCGGATATGCGAATAACACTACGCGGTGAAACTGGGGGGTTTGAAAACGGTCACTTGACCTTTTATTGCTCGCCTGTTATTTTGTAAGAATAACACGGTAGATGCGTTCGATTTGAAGCTATATTTTTGACTGACTTGTTTGATTTCTGGCTATCTTATATATCTATACGATCAGTATCAGAGAGAGTGTGTATAGAACCGAAGGAACACGATTTCAATAGGCCTTTTGGCTCATCTGCGTTACCTACTCTAGCTGATAAGGTTGATAAGCAACGAAAGTGTTGCATTGGAGAAAAAGAGACAAATCTATTCTAGCTGAATAATTGCAATAGGGTTCACTATCCAACTAATTCTTCAACATACGCCGGCCACCGTTAAAAACCCTAGTTTTTAACCTATCTACCTTATTTAATTATAAATGGCTAACTACTCAATTCGGGTATCTTCGTCTCCTACCATGTGACTCTTCGGTTTACTGTTTACGTTAGAGAATGCCGAACGTGTGATGAGCTGTGGTTGCGGTTACCGACCCTGATCGATCAGCTGCTTGCATCGGGTCAGTGGTCGTCTGCTGTTCTTCGATCTTCTCGTCCGTCGTTCTTCTCGTCCATCGATCTTCTGCCTCGTTCGTTCATCCTTCCTTTAATATCTCCATCAATCGTCATCCATCAATCGAATTGCCTGCGCTGTGGTTGTGGGTCGTAGCGCTTGTGCTCGTACGTCCGAGCACGGGTCCGTCAGCCGGGCATGGTGGGAGACAAAAATTCCTTAAGTTTTTTGAAAATTCATTTACCAAACGTACTTACAAGGTCCGGAGGCCCGCGGGCCCCCGGTCGGTGCGCAATGTTAACACTGCGATGGAAGAGACGAAGTACATCAGAGGTCATCAGCGGCTTCGCTTGGGGCGAGTGGCAATGACTGGTCGATGGGCAGTACGCAAATTTTGGAAATTGTGCGCCTGTACTCTCCGTCCTTGGTCTTCACTATGACGACACGGATGTTTCCGTCGTCTCCCCTGAAGATGTGAACCACTCTGCCATAGCGCCATTTAAGGGGTGGTAGTCCATCGTCTTTCACCAGAACTAAAGTTCCGATAGCGATGTTGTCCTTTTCGCGGGTCCATTTCGTTCTTGGCTGCAGCCCGGACAGGTATTCCGTGGCCCAGCGCTTCCAGAGACGACGAAGGAATTCTTGAACTTCCTGCCAACGATCTAATCGGTTGGGAGGTAGGTCTCCTAGCGAAGGTTCCGCAATGGCTGTGAGCGGGCGATGGATTAGGAAGTGCCCTGGGGTCAGGACATCGAGGTCTTCAGGGTCAGTCGATAACTGTGTTAGAGGCCGAGAATTCATGCAACTCTCGATTTGTGCTAGAAGTGTCGTAAGCTGTTCGACCGTTAGGATCGAGTTTCCAAGAGTGGATTTAAGATGGGTCTTGAAAGATTTGATGGCTGCTTCCCACAAGCCACCAAAGTTTGGGGAACGAGGAGGAATGAATTTAAATTCTATGCCGTCTTCGCCACACGACCGAGTGACGGCGTTCTGCAACTGCTGGTCTTTAAGCTGCTTGGCAAGTTCTGCTACTTCCCGAGAAGCACCACGAAAGTTCTGTGCGTTGTCGCACTCTATGAGTTTTGGTTTGCCTCGACGTGCGATGAAGCGCCTGAGGGCAGCAAGGAACGATCCCGTTGAGAGATCTCCCACGAGCTCTATATGAACTGCCTTTATCGAGAGGCAGACGAATACTGCAACGTAACCCTTGATCGGCTGCGACTTACGTTGAGGATAGCGAAAGTTGATCGGACCACACAGATCAACGCCTGTGCACAAGAACGGTAACGTTGGAGAGACACGTTCTGCCGGAAGATCGCCCATGATTTGCTGTTGGATTCTTGGACGACAGCGGAAGCAGTTGACACAGGAATGTACGATTCTTCGCGCAAGGTTCCGAACGCGCAAAGGCCAAAATTTCTCCCTAATGCTTGCTATTAGCAATTGCGGTCCTGCATGTAGCATTTTCTGATGGTAGTATCGAGCGACCAGTTCGGAGAACGGGTGCTTGGAGGGCAAAATCATTGGGTGTTTCCGATCTGAAGAAATTGTAGCGTGACGTAGCCGGCCACCAACTCGCAGGATGCCTTGTTCAACGAACGGTGTTAGTGCCTTCAACTTGGAGGACGGTTTGACCTCTCCAGTGTTGGTCAACGAAACGAAGTCTTCTCGAAAGGTTTCATGTTGAGTTATTCGAACGAGACATCTGTTGGCTTCTTCGAGTTCTATTGCGGTCAGAAAACCTCTACGACGTTGTGTTCGGTTAGCAGGATTCGAATTGAAGGAAAATCTTCGAACCCACGCAACTAAACGCAGCAGCACTGTATACGATGACCGTAGAGCGAATATTGGATTTGGTGGAACAGTCTGGATTGCTAGGGCAACTGGTCGTTCTTCGAGGTCTTCCATGATGAAATCTTCATCCGATGTATGCACGAAAGCAGGCCAAAAGCGAGAGGGATGCGCTAACCAGTCGGGCCCGTGCCACCAAGCCTTGGTCGATGAGAGTTGCTCGGGATCCATTCCCCGAGAGATTATATCTGCAGGGTTCTCCGTGCCCGAGACGTGAGCCCATAATCCACCAGCCGTTGCATGTTGTATCTCCGAGACCCGGTTTGCAATAAACGTCTTCCACCGGGACGGAGTAGAGGCTAGCCAATGGAGGACAATGGTGGAGTCTGACCAGAAAAACGACTTAGTATCGAGAGTGATGGCGTTTTGCACCTTCTGGAACAAGTGTGCCAGGAGCAGTGCTGCCGAAAGTTCCAGCCTAGGTAAGCAGACCCGTTTCTGCTTTCGAGAGTCTCCAAGGGGGGCTACCTTTGATTTTGCGACGAGGAGGTTTACTTTAACTGATCCGTCATCAGCTACAGCACGAAGGTAAATGCATGCGCCATAGGCCTTTTCTGATGCATCGCAGAATCCATGCATTTCAATCAACACTGGTTTGATAGCTGGTATAACCCATCGAGGAACAGAAAGATTCCGGAGAGCTTCGAGGTTTTCCCGGAATTCAAGCCATCGTTGCTGAAGTTCATCATCGAGAGGTTCATCCCATTTCTTCTGACACCGCCACAAGTCTTGGAGGTAGATTTTGGCCTGTACGATTACCGGACCGACCAGTCCCAGAGGATCAAAAAGTTTGGCAGCATCCGATAGCGCGACTCTTTTGGTAATTGTAGCTGTATCGTTCCATATCGGTACGTCGAAGAGGAAATCGTCTGTCGTAGTCTGCCATTTCAGTCCTAGCGTTTTGATCGGAGCGGAGGAAGAATTTAGGTCGAAAACTGTTCGTTCGTCTCGTAGATCTGCAGGAAGATGTTTGAGGACCTCCGGACAATTCGAAGACCATTTCCGAAGACAAAATCCAGCAGACTGAAGCAGGTTCAACAACTGGGAACAAAGCTGCTGCCCTTCGCTGACGTCATCAACGCCAGTTAATAGGTCATCCATGTAGAAGTCCTTGGATACGACTTTAGATGCTTCTGGATGTGTGGCTTCTCCAATTCTAGCGATTTCCTGGAGGCACCTGGTTGCCAGGTAGGGAGCGCACGAAGTACCGTAAGTCACGGTCGTAAGTTGGAAAGTTCGCAAAGGTTCCGATGGAGAATTTCGCCAAAGAATCTTGAGATAACGCCGATCAAGCAGGAAAAGTAGGATTTGCCGGTACATTTTCTCAATATCCGACACAATCACGTACCGAGGGATCCGAAACCGTAAAGTGATTGACACCAGATCGTCTTGAACGACGGGACCGACCATCAATCCGTCGTTGAGGGATACTCCGGTATCCGTTGCGCACGAAGCATCAAATACTACCCGAAGTTTGGTAGTCAGGCTATCAGGTCTAACGACACAATGGTGGGGCAGATAATACGAAAGAGTATTGGGCTTTAGTTCTTCCGAATCGGTGACTTCCTCCATATGTCCTAGCCGATGATACTCCTCAATGAAGTCTGAATACGCTTTCTTAAGCAATAGATTAGCGTTCAGGCGTCGCTCCAGAGCGAGAAAACGACGAGTGGCAATCTCTTTTGAGTTTCCGAGTGTTGAGAGGACTGTCGACCTTTTCGGAAGTTGAACTACGAAACGTCCTGTATCATCCCGTGTAGTTGTAGCTGCAAAATGCGCTTCGCAAAGCGTTTCTTCGATGGATAGGGTACTGCTAGATTGGCACGACTCTAGTTCCCAAAAGCGTACCAATTGATCTTCGAGCGAACTGATACTGCAGACGTGGACAAAGCTGATTGTGGGTGACGGAGATGAGCCAACCTTGCCGGAAACGACCCATCCGAGTACGGTTCTCTGCAGCACTGGTAGATCTGGACCAAGACGTACCAAACCTTCTTCGACGAGTTCATAGTAGACCTCCATCCCAAGTATCATGTCGATGGGACCAGGTTGATGGAAGGTAGGATCAGCGAGAACGAGATTAACTGGTATGCTCCACTCTTGGGTGCTCAATGCCCTTGCAGGAAGATCGCGAGTGATCCCCGGTAGTACGTGGAATGAGAAATCAGCGATGAAGTTCGAACAATGTGATTCGATTCGAGCGTCGACGGCGTAGGATGAAACGACAGTGGCATTCCCTACACCTCCAATCTCCTGATGAGTTTTGATACGTCGCAGCTTCAGTTTCTGTGACAGCTGCTCCGTCATCAAGTTCAGCTGCGAGGCAGGATCCAACAAAGCTCGAGCCCACACGGCATACCCGTTGATATCAGAGATCTTCACCATCGCAGTTTGCAGCAACACAGTCAGAGGAACGGTTCGAACACTGCCGAGAAGGGTAGTCGACACATGGCTGGTAGATGGGGTACAAGTAGGCGGAATTACAACATTTGGTGGTTGCAAAGACTGGGATGAGGCGGACTGAGGTGGAGCAGCTGTAGTACATCGAGTGGACTGAGATTGGTTATGTGTTGTTGGTGGTTTGGGATTCGGAATGGCATCCGACGAACGAAGTGTGGTATTTTGGTGCAACATGGTATGATGTTTTTGTCCACATACTCGACAGCAACTGGACGAGCATTGCTTTACGAGGTGGGATGGCGAGAAGCAATTTATGCACAGCGAATTTTTCTTCACTATTTCGAACCGTTGGGAAACGGGAAGCTTGCGAAAAGTCTCGCAGTGGAAAGGCGAGTGCGAGGACTGTGTACAGAATGGACAGCATTTCGATGATGAGTTAGTAGTTACTGCATGGCTAAACTTCGGTTTCTGCGACCGAACTGGTTCGAGTTTGAGCAGGTCTGCAGTGCGGGGCTTCGACGACGATAAAGACTGCAGGATAGAACAATGTCCGCGCATAAACTCAATCACATCCTCATACCTTGGAACTTCGGTAGATTTGTGATGCTGTTCCCATTGCTTGAGCGTTGCGCAATCCAAGCGTGCGCAAAGCATATGTGCGAGAAGTACACTCCACCCTTCTGTCTGGACATCCATCTTTTGGATCATGTTTAAGTTGCGCTCGAATTCATCGATGATACGCGCCAAGGATTCGTAGCATTCCTTGCGCATCGGTTCGATGGAAAGCAAAGACTCAATGTATGTCTTCACGACAAGTTTTTTGTTATCAAACCTCTTCTCAAGTAGTCCCCAAGCTACTGAGTAATTAGCTGAGGTGATTTCAATCGACTCAATTACCCGTTTTGCTTCCTTAGAGAGAGACGAAATAAGGTACGAAAATTTGTCAATTGGTTTCAGTTGAGGGTTACTATCGATCAGGCTTACAAAAGCATCACGAAAGGTAAGCCAATTTGCTAGGGTACCATCGAAAGTGGGAAGTTTTACTTCTGGTAACCTTATTCGAGCGAATGATGAGTCAGCAACTGTAACTCTGGGTGCCACGACATTTGACGACGATGCAGTAGGTTCTGGTTTAAGTTTAGAAGCGATAAACCCATACACCTTCATGTAATTTCGTTCGAAATCACCACGAATTTTTCTGTACCCATCCTCATCAGGTGCAGCTGTTTCAGCTGCGTCAGCATCTTCTTCCTCATCCTCAAGTAGCTCCATCTGCAAGCGATTCGATTGAAAATCGGCAAAGTTTTTCTCTAGCCGCTGCATCCATCCTCCGAGAAATAAGGTGTCCCTTTGCTCATCGTAATTAGTTATCAGGCTAATGAGGTTGTTCATCGTGTCCATGCAAAAACGTTCTTGACGAGACAGCGCACGCAAACTTGGTGCCATATTGATGAGTAAGAAATTCTGCCGAAATTTTCAAAATCGACCAACGAAACAAAGAATTTGCAAACGAAACTCTCGGTTAAATGTTACACCACCACAACTTCGCATACGATGAGCAAAAAAAACTTCGAAAATGCGTCAATATCCAACTGATTTCTCCCACAACCAAACCAATCAGGGGTAATAAATCAACCGTGGTTCAATCTACGGTGCGATAGTCCTCACTCGGTATTATGCAATTTGTTATTCTATTTATTTGATCAGCAGCCGTACTGCTATCATACATGCGTACTTACAGTGCGTCTCGAGTTGCAAATCGATTCTTCCTACCTCCTTTGTCCAGCCCAACAAAAGCCACCCAAGCCAAGCCAGAAGAACGTTGACCCAAGTCAAACCTACAAAGCGTGACCCAGCCCAATAGTAGCAGCGCTGATCGATGATCTTTGTCTGGTATCACTGCAACGTAGAAAACTGCGTCTTCTTTTCCGCACTAAATTTCAATTTTTTCCGAACTGTGCGGATTCACTATTGGATTTTCACCCACTAGGGGACTTTTTCCCGTGGCACTGTGCGTTTACAGTCGACACTGACCGAGTTCGATTAATTAGACGAACTTTCACGTTCGATCCGCGTGAATTTCATAAACACCTTTCACGACTATACTATTCTTTGCAACCGAGTTCACTAGATTTTCACACGCGTAAGTGATCCGGCTCGAAGGACCAAATTTTATGTTCGGATATGCGAATAACACTACGCGGTGAAACTGGGGGGTTTGAAAACGGTCACTTGACCTTTTATTGCTCGCCTGTTATTTTGTAAGAATAACACGGTAGATGCGTTCGATTTGAAGCTATATTTTTGACTGACTTGTTTGATTTCTGGCTATCTTATATATCTATACGATCAGTATCAGAGAGAGTGTGTATAGAACCGAAGGAACACGATTTCAATAGGCCTTTTGGCTCATCTGCGTTACCTACTCTAGCTGATAAGGTTGATAAGCAACGAAAGTGTTGCATTGGAGAAAAAGAGACAAATCTATTCTAGCTGAATAATTGCAATAGGGTTCACTATCCAACTAATTCTTCAACAATGGTGACCATTTCCATGTTAGGGTGGTCCAAAAATCGATTTTTGTCATAAATTCATAACATAGCATTAGAGGAACTAATCAATTTCCAAATCCTCCAATTATAAAAGGTATTACTTTGAAAACATATAATCAAACCATGATTTGTAACAATAAAATAATAAATTTGGTCATTCCCAGTTAACATTCCTGGTTGATTTAATTCAGCACGAATTTTAGAACCCATTGGGCCGATTTCAAAGAACAAAATGTCAAATGAAAGGTATTCAAAAATATTTTTTGGAAAAATATAATGATATTAAAAAAAATAGGATTTTGTATTGAAAAAACATTTATTGTATTTGTTTTCATGGTTTGTAAATAGAGGGCTCAATACGTTTTTATATGTTTCCTCGAAAATTTAGGCTTTTTTACACAACATATAAAAAATCAGCAATGTGTTTTTTTCGTTTTGAGTTACATTTTGTTTGATGTTATCAAGTTTTGGGTTCCACTCAATACTCCTCCAGATCTCAAAAATCTGATGAAATGATGAATTCGTATACAATCAAAGAGTTTCATTCAAATAATGAGCCTTAATATTGTCTCTGTATGTTGCAAAAAGCACATATCAATATTAAAGAACTGAGCTTTAAATATCGTGATTCTCAACACGATATTTAAAGTTCTCCAAATCATCCTGTTAAATTCTGAAGTTTACATGTTGTAGTTTTACTCAATAACATTCTTTTTGACGCATAGTTGTACTGGCTTAATATTTCAAGTTCAATAAATCATTCTGGAGCGTCCCTTAGCTTAGCTTAGAAAAAGGCGCAGCTACAAAGCAAGACCATGCTGGAGGTGGCTGGGTTCAATTCCCGGTTCGGTCTAGGAATTTTCGGGTTGGAAAATTTCTCGACTTCTCTGGGCATATAAGTATGATTGGACTTGCCACACAATTATACCAATGTGAAAATGGTACAGGCATCGAAAGCTCTCAATTAATAACTGTGGAAGTGCATCTAGAACACTAAGTTGAGAGCACGCAATAAGCTAATATGCGATATGCAATAAGCTTGAAATGCGAAGAAGAAGAAGAAATCATTTTGGAGGTAATATCTCGAAGTTCTACAGACTCAACGATGTCTTGTATGATAGTATGCTCCAACGGCTTTGGGATCTAGAACGTATTAACGAGAGTCCTATGCTGACCCCGAAGAGCAAAGGTGCAAAAATCATTTCCGCCAAACAGTGTTTCGTGTTCAAAACGGAAGTTACGTGGACCGCTACGAGAAGATTGCCTAGCGCTGGTTTGACGTTCCCAAGCGGATCCAAACTTTCGAGATGCATACTTCCAGTTAGGACTTATGGAGCCCAGCAGACCTATGTACAGGTAATCTACAGTTTTATTTGCCTAATCTTGTAATATACCGACCCGATAGTTCAACTACCAAAACACGAATCGTTTTGACCCGTCTTGTAGGGCAGGTAGCCAACTAGCGCAAAATGAGGTTTTGCATGCGAGTCCAACGGTTACACCCACCATGCTGAGCATGATACGTAATTATCGAATCCCTTATTTTGTCTACAAGGCCAACATTGAAAAAATGTTTAGGCCAATTTGAACCCATCCATTTGATCGCAGTCTACTACACCTGTTTTGGCGACGTAACCATAGTGATCCAAAGGGACGGCTTAGCGGCGCCGGTGGTGTAGTGGTAAGCGTGATTATCTCTCACCCCAGCAGGCCTGTGTTCAATCCCAGTCGGCGCCGCCGGGAGGTTCTGAGGCATAACATCTCTGATCACGCCTTCCTTCGGAAGGGAAGTAAAGCCGTTGGTCCCCGGTTCATGAGTATGATAAGTCGATAGGTAGGGTCCAGGTGTGGGAGCTGCCTCCCTGGCGTCGGTAGCATTGATGCTCAGCACGGAAAACAAGATCGACGGAAAGCAAATAAAACAAAAAAGGGACGGCTTGTGCACTGTTTCAAGCAACTCGAGTTTTATTGCAGTTAGCGGAAGACGAAGGTCACAGATTTCCGTTAGGAGCATGTATTATGCGAAAGGGGACTTAAATGGATGATACTCTGGCTGGCAGATGAGGTCATAAGAGCCACTGTTGAATTGAAACAATTATTGGCTACTGGAGGTTTCAATCTTTCGAAATGGTGCGCTAATGATGCTCGAGTATTGATTGAAACTAAACCGAATGTAATAGGAATGCCTGACAAAGTAGAATTTGATCCTGAAGCATCGGTGAAAACGTAAGGGCTGTTTTGGAAGCCTCATACAGATAAATTTAGTATCAAAATACCTTCACATTCGGATGGAAGAAAGAAACGAGTTGTGGATTCAGAAATGGCTCAACTATTTGACCCATTAGGTCTTGTTGGACCAGTGGTAGCCGCGGCAAAAATGTTTGTTCAACAACTGTGGGGCGCAAATCAGTCGTGAGATGATCAATTATCTACAAAGTTGACAACTTGGTGGCAGCAATATCAAATACGATTCCCTTAACTAATTCGTTTATTCACTAGGCGGACGACCCCGGCGTAGTGGTTAGCATCCATACCTCTCACGTTAAAGTCACGAGTTCAAATTTCACCCCCGGACAAGTCACGAATTACCCAAAAGTGTTAAAGTGACTATAAAAAAAAAGAAAAAAAAATCACTAGGCTCAGTCGTGCGTGACACTTTGCGGAGCCAAAAATCCGTAATTAACATTTTAAACAGCAGTAAATCTAGGATAGTATTGGTTACCAATTACTGTGGGGTGAAAAGTAACCTCCTTGACGGCCAGAATGCGCTGCTACTGCAGAAAAGGTTATGGTGCCTTATAGTCCGTTCATATTTAGGCAGACATGCCAAATTTCATTGCGATACCACAAACGAAGTGACAGACGACTTTCTCCGAAGAAATTAATTAAAATAATGTGGTTCTCTGAAATATAATTTTAGTCCACCTTCCGCCCCTCACCGCCAGATTCACTAATATTTTAGTTTTGAATTAATTCACGCTTCAATTCGCTCACGTTGATGGGGTGGTGTTTTCTCACTCATCGAAGGAAATTTTGATTAGAGTTAGAAAGTAAGGAACAGTCAGCACGGGAACGCTGTGCGTTACTATAGGTGCGGCAGAA